CAGAGCCATATCTCGGAAAGATTCTACAGGCCCAAATCCACCAATCACAATTTTGAAAGCTGGCACGGATTTCGGGGAACGAATCCTCGTTCGAATCGAAGCTGCTCACTTCGAACAACACCTGTAAAAGTTGCGGATTATAACAACAACTGTGTAAATCCAGGCTTAAAGTTCTTCGTTTCTTTGGACGTGTGAACAACCGGTACAATACGAAAACGAGTGTAACAACAAATAATACGGACACGTATATATTTAGACGAACTTTGTGTCTTATTTTGCTATACTGCACAAATTGCAGTGCGCCTTCTAAATTGTTCAAATACTCGGAACTTTCGATTGTATAGTAGGCGAAGGTGAAAGTAATATAGTAAAGTAAAATAATAGGAAAATAATGTGCGAAGTTGAGTGACTAATTAAGATAAATTTGTATCAGGTTAGAATCTCAACGATTTAGTAATAACTCAAAAGGAGATTAAGATAAGCTCAAAAGTATTTATTGCCTAATTGATGAAACTGTAGAAAAGCAAACTAGCCCCCGATCTCCATGATTTTGAATACGTTGTAGAAATCTATATTTGTGAATAACTTTTTCTTATGCGTACACGAGGTGAACTCGGTACCATCGGCCATGAGGCAGAAATTTACCGTAGCGGTACCTGCAGTATTTTGCGAATATCTTGGAAACTAAGCGAAATCAATGGTTAGATGTATAGAAGAAAATCGTTCAAAATTTGCAGCTTTACGACATATTAAAAAATTATCAAAATCGAAGGGTAGTTCACTTTCTTACAGTTTCAACTGTTTAGTTTTGCAAGCTAACTCCTTTATAAGCAGAAAGATTTCTTTTGGTATACTGCAAAGATAGAACTGGTTCCTAATTGATATTATACGATACGATCCTGAATGACGTATGCTCCATTCAACGAGTCGAGACGTCAACTATGAAGATAAGCGCGTGGTAGTATTTAAATTTTACGACACGGGTGTAGTCGTAGTTCCTAGACATCGTATTTACCACTTTACGTGCGGACAGAGTACAAATTTTGACGACTAACAAACCGTCCCTGATATACTAACAAACTACTGGTGTTTGACGATAAGTGTCAGCCAACAGTTAGGTTTGCTGTCTCTCTCGCCTGCCTCAGCACGTGAATGTTTTGTTTATAGCTGCTATGTCGATTCGTTGAATAGATTTTTAAATCATTACTAACTAACTATAACTAATACATTTCTAATTATTTGTCGCGGTTATCGAAGATTGCAAACTTCAAACTCTTACCGATCTTACATACTCGCTATACAATCTCCCATCTCGTGTACTATGCAGTAAACAACTTTACAGCTTCTAAAGAGTAATTTATTCGTCTGTTGTATCATCGACACGAGTACGGTGATTTTCTAATAAGACACAAAGACAGAGTGCTACTGTCCTTGTAGAAGGTGCTCTCTTCATGTTAAATTCAAGCCAGCGATCATCATTTCAGAGAAACTGGTGCTAAGCGCTAAGGCGGGTGTGAAAAATAACCATTGCCTTTGTTCCTCTTTGACGAAAATTTCACACACATACGCACACACACACACACACACAACATGTCGAAAGACAACTTTGAAGCGATATAACAATGTGGTCAAATGGCGAGTAAAATCGTCTAGTCGAAAAGAAAGGAAGTGGAAAGGAAATGATCGTGGCGATCGAAAATCGTAACGACGCCTCTGATTGGCGATGATCGTGCCGCTCGAATCGAACGAAATAAAGGGAAACGAAAGGTGTATCGGATTCGAGGATCCGCAGTTGTTCGTAGTTCGCCAGCGACGTTACGTAACGTGTTTCTCCTCGGGCGCAACCCGCCAGCGACATGGACACGCTTAACATTCGAGACGCGTAACAGGAAGCACGTAACACAAACTTGCGCCGATACTCGTGAATTTGATCCAGTGATCACCGTTTCGGGACGAAACAACGCTGGAGGCGAGGCAACCACCTGCCCCCGGATGAGTCGTTTCCTTTTCACGACAGGGCTATCTCGAGAAAAAGGAAAACCATCGCCCAGCCTCGGTGAATAGAGAAGAGTCCTGATAATAACGACGCAGCTGCTAATAAAAAGTGAAAATACACTGAAAATACACAGGCTACCAGGAAAGTAACGTCGTTATGCTCGAGACAGAGAGGACAAAGAGGTGGAACGACGATGGGGTAGAATGGCAGTTCTGGCCAGCAACAAATTGTGTCCCTTTTCATTCAGGTAGGCGAGAAAAAATGGAGCACGAGAAGGCTAATGTAGAAATATAGAGTGCTTCTAGAGTTTGGATCAAACGTCAGGAGCTATTGTAATATTTGCCAGAAGCGAAAACATGTTGATAAACGTGTGTCCAGATATTATTGAAGTTTTAGAGATGTAAGACGCTTTCAACTATGAGTCTGTAACAGCATAAGAAACTTTATTACGCGAAAAAGCTTTTCTGGACTACAGCTATATTATATAGCCAGTCCTATAAGTATCTTGCAACTGTTATATACATTTTCAGATTCTCCCAAGTTTTACCGATATAATCATGATAGTGGTATCTGATTGCAATTTTAATAAAATTTCAAAACGTATCACCTAAAGAACTTCATATATTTACAAGAAGCTTCTATTCTAAATGTTTGCACCCATTTAGAACGTGTATGTGGTACTTCGATACTTAAATTTTTATTTGCATATTATATGTTATTATTTATATCATATATTATATATCATATAAATTACATTAACCAATTTTAAATTGCTTTCAAATTGTAGAATATTTCATGTACGCAGAGTGTATAATATATTCGTAGAATGATTCTCAAATATGTACTTTCGTGAATACGTTCTAAGTATTAGGTTGTCCGAAAAGTTGTTTTCGTTTTATCAGCGAATAATAGACGCACAACGTTTTTTGTTTTACATTATTTTGTCGAATTACGTACGATCCATTTGTTCTGTAGACATAAACACCGCGACATTTCACAGACTTGGTTTTACGTTTGTATGAAGCTGCACTGTTGTAAAAAACACGTTTGTGAAAGAAAGATACTTTTCGGACAACCTAGTATATAGAGCCGATATATGCTCCTAAAGCTTGACTCTACATTTCAGAAACAGCCTGTTTAAGAAGGCACGCAAGTAAATTCACGCGAATAGATTCCTATTTACGATAATCTTCGTCTATGGTCGTTCGTTTCAGTCAACTTGCTTGTTTATGATTCGTGCGATATTGGGAAGTAAAATTGGGAAATAAAATCTATATAGAAATGCTTATTGTCGAATTATGCTTGATCAATTTCGCTGATCAAACGAAGCGTGAAAAGTATTTCCGCTGCTGCCTCGCATTCTCTGATATTCTTCCTTTCGGTCGTTTGCCTGAGAAACGAATCCTTTTCTATGGGTAGACACCTCGCCCTCGAAACCAGCGGCCGAGAGACACGCCGTGTGTCTTGCAGCTCATTCTCGTACACTTTCATTACCGCCGCCACAACGCGCCGTGGCTTCTGCTAAAACCTGGCCTTGCGCACATTGCGAAATATTTGCCAGTTGCACGGTGTACGAATTAACCCGGCGTTGCTGCTATGGGGATGCGATAATTGAGTTACAGAAGCTATTTCAGGGCGCGAATAAGAATCTCTGCTGAGAAACAGGCAACGCAAGAAGACGTAGAAGAAGTTGGAAGAGGAATTTTTGCGTTGAAAAGGTTTCACGAGTAACAGAAGCAGAACTTCAAGATGCTATCATTCGTAGAGGCTTTAAATGCTGGCAAATGTTTGAGGGTACACAATACCGGAGACTGATAAAGTAATTGTACTTTATGCAACCTCTCCGCTACAAAACACGCGTAACAAAATGTACGACAAGGAGGAAGTTGAAAATTGTTTGCTGTTTAAGGTATTTATAGTACTGCGACAGATGTAACATAATATTTAACTATGTACAGAAAAGAATATAATGGTTTGTTGAAACTTCTTCCTTGTTATGCTATGAAAGCTGTTTTATGAACGAAATATGTCAAAAGACAATTGAAGGAAAAAATAGCTACTGTAGAATTACAGTGTAAGAGGAGAACATTTTTCGTACAGAAAGATAATTGAAAATAGGAATAATATGAACTTTTTCTATATTAAGAGCAGACTATACATATATATAATGATTTTTAAGATAGATATTCAATTTGGATAACGCTCAAACTTGATTAAAATTAGTTTTTAATTTACGAGGTTAATATCATACATGAATTTTTCTACGTAAATGTACATATACTTGTTTTAAATGTTGTTAGTATATATTTACATATTGTAATAAAACTCATTTTAATATAATTTATTTATTTAGTGACAACGAGTATATTAAGCCTGTGATACATTCGCAGCTTGCAATTCCCGAACGTCTAATTTCCAATTCTATAAACATAAAATTAAAATAGCCGATGGCAAATGTTATTCTATATGCGAGAAGGATTTAGAAAAACGTAAAGTCATTAAATCTTGAAATACGTACGCGACGAGAAACAACAGCGAATAAAATTTACATTTGATCAGGGAATTAACTTTCCAATTAATTTTCCAGCCCCAAAATAGCCTTCAATCTACACACTAACGACTCTCACATTAGTATTAACACGCACACGGCCGAATATAATGCCATCGTAAACAATATTTTAATCCTAGCTTAATCCAACCTCTATCGACTGCAATACCGCGTTAGTATCCAGAAAACGCAATTACACGAAACGAATTATGCTAGGATAGAAATGTGAAAACAATTCGAGAAAAAGTTTCTAAATTAGCAACTGTGGTGGATTATTATACATGTTGGTTGGGTGTGATACGAGTAATAAAATTGTAATATTCAGTGTATATTAAAATCACTTCAACACGTTGACTGACACGCGTGTTTTCAATAAAATATCCTTCAGGCCACGTGTGCCGCAGTACCAAACGTTCTCTGCTGGGCATTCCCGTTGATATGTTAGATAATTTAAAATCTTTGCCCTAATTCGTTACAATGTCAAAAAGAAAAATGGAAAACTTATTCTTTAGTGAGTCAAATAGCAGTGAAAATGAAAGCTTTTACGAGGCTTACACAAATTTGGATAGTAACAATGAGGAAGAAATCAGATTTCCTAGAAATAAAAATATAAATAGAATTACATCGTCTGATTCTGATTCGGATATTGATAAGTGCAATCATAGTGATACTGAATGTAATGAAGATACTGTCGACGAGATTTTACAAGAATTAGTCACTGAGGGAGAAAGAAGAACTGACGATACCGAGGAAAGTACAATTCAATTTGGCGAATGGAATGAATTTAGTGGTCGGCAGAAGTCATTTTCTTCTCCCGAGACAGATGGCCTCATGAGGCAATTACCTGGCGATGTTAATTCATATGATGCGTTTAAGCTGTTCGTTGATGACGAAATAGTAAACTTATTTGTATCAGAAAATTACAACAGGGAGGGATATAAATATTAGAATATTTAAAGAATTATTAGCTGCAAAATTATTAGGATTGTCTGAAAATACAAAATATCCTTGTCTTCGATGGAGTCAGCATAATATCGCCGCCCGGAAAAATGATTCCGGAAGAAGCATTAGACACGCATGCAAACTATGTTATGCAAATGAAAAACGTCGAATGGACTGAACAAAGACACGAGAGAATTTAAAGAAAACAACAACTTATTGTCCAAATTGTCCCGACCAACCTCAGCTATGTATTGAATGCTTTAAAGTTTTACGTTCTAAATAATTTTTGTAATAAATCATTTTCGTATTACTTTTATAACAATTCAATAGTTTTATTATTTCCTCTGGAATATCTTTTCAAATACCTACGACGATCCTTCGCAAGTAGTCAAATAAGCGTCACTCGAATACGGGTGTCGTGGCAGTCAACATGTTAAGTACAAGTACAGAGACAGTGTATGTCGATCGTCATCGTCGCTCGTTCAATGCTACTGTTCAACTATACGGTTGCTATTCGACTGTGTGCGACTTGCTATAATAACTCGCTATAATGACTTACCTAGAGAGCACGTTTGTCTATTTGTATCGACTGGTGTTATTATAAAAAGTTCAAATGTAACTCCGATTGATTACAAATAATATTTTGTCCAGAGTTCGTTTACCTTTGAACCTGGCAAACCAAAACAACGTTGGTATTCCAAGGCACAATAATACGAGTCTCTCCCGATTCAAATCTTCCATTGACTCATGTGCCGCTACACAGCTGTATGTCGTTACAGCGTTAATGAAATGTCCAAAAGTTTTATATATGCGTGTCACACAACATGTATCGTAGGTAAAAGTTTCCTATTGTAAGTGTTTAAATACGAGGGTCGTCCGGAAAGTACCGTTTGCACATAGAAGCAATATAAAACGACGTACTCGTAATTTCGTTCATATGCTCACATAAATTACGTAACAATTTTTTGTTTAAATATTTAATACCGTTGTTGTATCGTATGTTTCAAACGCTGATACGAATCGAAAATCTCGCCAATGACGAACTGCGGTCTGCCGTCCTTCTACGCTTTTCCACCGCTGAAAACATTCTACCAAAAGGAATTCAGCATAAAATGACAGCAGTTTACGGTAATAAAGTTACGGATGAATCATTGGCCAGACGGTGGATGCGGAAATCACATCATCACGTCACAGAGGAGCCCAAGAACGTGCCTCCCATTTCATTGCAAATGATAGACGCATCAAACGAGCCAGATTACCAGCTTTTTGCAAAATTTCAAGAGTTTTTGTATCGATAACGCTTTATAAGAAACGATGATCTAAAATAAAAAAGATCTGAGCAAAGAAAATGATGTGCGTGAGACGATGGTTACGTGAGCTTCCGGCAAGTGTATGGCGAAAGTACACAAAAACTCGTATAACGTTACCATATGTGTTCGAATGGGGATGGTGGTCGTATTGAAAGATAGCTTAGTATATATATCAAAGTTAGAAACAAAGAAAACTTTCTAAAATGTATTTGTACTGTTGCTATTTCAAAACGGGTATTACTTTCTGCACGATCCTCGTACTTTCGCGAGTACACACATTACGCTGTGTGTACAGAAAAGGATCAACAAGATCAATAAGAAACGTAAAAAGATAGGCAAAGATACTTTCCTGGAAACATTGATTGCTTGCGTTGGTTTGAAATTCATGGGTTCGACTTGAAAAAGTTTGCCGAGTATAAGCGTGAAATCTCACGAACAATCCAAGCAATTAACAGTCTGAAAGGAAAGTATCTTAGGTACACATGGCACGATGTACTTGGAAATAATTTGAATTTCTTTTGACAGTCGTTCCGTGACGATCGCTCCGCCGAGTTTCTTATTAATGGGGATAACGATATCCCATAATTTGAAGCGTCTCCAGGTAGCAAGGGACAGTCATCGAAGGAGCGAGCGAACCGGTAGACGAATGCAAAGTAAAGAACGATCTTTTAAAATAGTTTCCACGCGAACGAGTATAGAACGAGCGTAATTATAGCGAGCAGATCCCGCTCTGTCCGTATCTCCACGAGAAACCTCGTCCCTCGCGTCTTTTTGCTTGAAACAGTGGACAAACTATCGTCCAAGGTCCATTTGCTCCGCTCACTGGGATGAGATTCGATAAATTGAAACCCTATGTAGGCCAGCAACTCGAAGAAAACCAAAGGATAAATCTATCGACTTGGTTTACCGTGCAGAAAATAAACGGGTGCGCACTTGAAGATACAAAAGCGTCTCCACACTCGTCTTCACGCTGTTAGCTCTAGAAGGTTATTTTGCCATGCAGTCATTGCGTGCTTTATGATTGCTGGAACATTATGAACACATCTACATTCGATCAATAACATTGTTATATATTGCTGTTACTGATCATGTGAGATTGGTATCGAAGGACTATGGTCGAATACTGACGAAAAAGATATTTAGCGAACCAAACGCCGGTGATTATAGGCAACGATTATCTTATATATGTATGTATATGTCGGGTTATCATTAGGATTTAAGGCGCGTAATGATTCTTCGTTTGAATTAGCCATTGTTTTACGAAACAGAGAATATATTTACGCGAATAAACAAAATTGTACAAAATATTATGAATAATGAGTTTAATAAATGATAAGATTAACAAACGATAAGTTTAACTAATAATTAGATTAAAGAATAATAAGTTTAACGAACAATAAGAGGAACGAATAATATGTCTTACGAATAATAAATTTAACGAATAATGAGATTAACGATTGATAGGTTTTACAAATAATGAATTTAATTAACGCTATTAACAATGTTCTGGGGTTCAAACGCATCCACGGTCAACGGGATAACTCTTTACTATGCGTAGAATAATTTTAAACACAAAAAAATACGATTGCTGAGACACTCGGTAAATTGCTCGATGTATCACTTTCCAAGGCGATCACACGAATG